TGAAAACACAAACAACAGAGAAAGCTCTCCTCGGCTGCCCGGGAAAAGCTCCTTGATCATCACTTGTCAGACCAGAGGTGAAACGAACTCTGAAGGTGTTAATATTAATGGGGTTTATTCAGCTGTGAGATCAGGCAAGGGCAGAAGGAAATATTTGATGCTGTTTCCTTTCTAAAAAATTGTAAGCTCCTGTTAGTCTTCCCCTGGCAGAAGGACCTGTGGTGGTTTTTAGCAGGGTAGCTCGTTTGGAAGATGGATATTTGCAGGGTAGAAAGTGAAGGCAGGTGCTCTGGGGTATTTGAAAAGAGGCTAATCAGGCTGAGTGGAGACATGTCTCTCACGGTGTACCAGGAGGAAATAGCTCCTGTAAACGAGATGCTGAGGGTGACTCGCCTCAAGTCCTGATTATTGTGTAAAGGTTACTTCTGTGGCAGGGGCACAGCAAATCATTACAGAAGAGCTGAGGTAGATAAGACTACTTACAGCAGTGAAGATTTCTCCTGCAAGTTAGGAGCTGCGATGTCAAGGCCTAAGGTTTTCCAAATTCCCTTCTGTTGTCAGCAAACCCATTAATCTTTTACATATGTCAGGTTACTGTGAGCAGGTGGCAACTCTTTACCTGCTCTGGGGGAAAATTCAGCTATTTGTTCATCGCTGAATGCTGCGCAGGAGAAAGAGGCAACTTTTATGAACACTAAAAAGAACATTAGCAAGATAATTCTTATTTGATAGTTCAGAAGCAACATATCAGTAGTAGAAAGTCAAAATAAGCACAGTGGTTTTTTTGTTTTTTGTTGGTTTTTTTTGTCTCCTCAGAACTTTGTCATGGAAGATGCTGTTAGATTGTTTTAATTCAGCAAAACCAGTTTGGTTTTGCGTTGACTGGACAATCTGATGTTTTGTGAAAGTAGGAATGGGTTTTTACCCGAAAACACCTCCTTTTCTAGTTCAGAAAATATTGGTTTTATTTTAGCACAGTTGAGATATGCTTCAAACGCAAGGAAAATGAACTTTTTGGCCTTTTAAACAAAATTTTAAATACTTTTTCTCAGATGTGTTTCCCCACCCCACTAAATATCATTTTTTGTCCCTTGTAAAGCGTTTGTTTGTGTCTGACTGCCAACGTCAACTCAAAAATGTTCCATGAAGTTCAGTGAACATGTTTTCCTGCTTATGCTGTGGAGAGTAGTCCTTGTTCCTGTGGCTGTCTGTAATCGTGAAATTTTTTTTAAACAATATTTCTGAGTGAAGTTATTGAATCTTTCTGTATGATTTCAGCCGTATCTTCAGTGCCAGCTGAAGATGACTCTTTCAGGAACCTTATTACCAAAATAGAGGCACTGCCTATATTTATTAAGTATTTATCTGTCAGCTCATTATTTAGACCTGTTCGTTAGCATAAAGAACTCCTGTAATAAACCCATCTCACAGTGCAGTGAGTCTGAGGTTGGAACAGTGACCAGTCCAGGCACACACTGATGCACTGACTCTGGCAACATGGTACCAAAGTACCCACCCTTGAGTACCCACATATCTCATAAAGCTGAATGATTTTATGAAGGGAGTAATTTCAGAACCAGACACTACATACAGAATTTTCCATGTCCCCTGTCTTGCAGTACCCCGCCTCCTTGCGTTTAAAAATAAATATATATTCTAGCAGAACAAGTGGAGGTTTGTGCTGAAATACTAACTTTAAAAATAGCAGTATGTTCTGATAATGCCAGATATATTTAATGAATTAACCCAGGAGAAGCATGTATTCCAAGGTGACTGGAAGAGAGGCTTTGTGGTGCACTTACTCTTGGATTGTGCTGGGGAAATGTGTGAATTTCTTCTCTAAAGTCAAGTTTCTAGTGAACACCAACTACTACAGTGTGGAATCTGGCAACTCGAGAACATATTTGCATTAATTCAAACTTTTATGGTCAATTGGAAAAGGACAGCATTTTACTTCAAATGAAATCTCTGCACATGAGGAAAGTTCATTCAGGCTTTATAGCCCAGAGGCCCATGCTTTTTCACTAAAATTCATTGATAAAAATGGGATTCATTTAGGTCAGATGCTTTCTGCTTAGCTACACAGGCTTACAGCATTCTGTAAAAGTTAATATTAATCAATATATGAAAATCAGTGTGGCATGAATAAATTAGGCAGTGTAATAGAGGCTTTTATTTCTTAGGTAACATTAAAAAAGACTAAAAGGTCTTAAATTTTTAAAAAGAACATTTTAAAATTTTATTTCTGTTTTATAGACAAGCTGTGGACACTCACAGAAAAAAACCTTACTATTTCAGGAGAATATGCGAGCTGAGGCAGAGCAATTAATGCTTATATAGATGGTAATGTTGAAAAATGTTCATTATCAATTAATTTGACTTTCGGTCTCTTCCAGATAAGGTATTGGACTGACAATATTTTACTTGCTGTAGCTTTTCCATTGTTGTTGGAATTTGGGTTGCAATAGTTGAATTCATCACTATTTGTTTGTACAAAGACTGACATTTGCTTTAATTTCTGGGCATTCTTTGTCTGTAAGGAATTGACCTGAGGCTGAGCAAGAGAAAAAGCACAATTTTTTTCCTTCATGAGTACTTTCACTTTTTCAATGGTGCTTTCTTGTTCTCTGTACAGTGTTAAATAAGAGCAGTCTTATCTTTCATTGCCTCAGAGAATTGCTCCCTGTATGGATTGTCCATACATGCACAGGCTAATGAGTTGGTTGTTCATTGTGGAACCAGAAAGGAAATTGCCTCTCTATCTATTTTAGGGGTAGCTCCAACTGTTACTCTTCACTATTTTGAACCCTTTACCTGTGTTTTCTATGAAGGAAATCAAGACAGCAGACAGTTGTGGCTGGTTACTAGTGAATACAGTCTGCTCTCTATTGCCTGGGCCATATAAGAAACGTGCTACGGGGTTGGATCAACACACACAGTGATGTTAGTCTAAGTTCCTCCGTTTGTGACTGAGTCTGCGTTTGGTTCATGGGACCAGAGCCTGGTCAGATTTGTAACCTCCTGCCCAAAAGGAGCCAAAGGGGAATGACGGGATTGTCACATAAAACAGCAGAGACTTTGTTTCATTTACATTCAACCTGGAGCCAAATTCAAGCAAAACTAAGTGTTAAGAGGCACTGAAAGTCTTGTGTGTTGCTGTTGCCAATTGTGGTGATTTTATTCACACCCATGAAACATGTTTCATTTTCAAGTCATTCATCTGTTACCAAATCACAGTGAGATACCCTCGCGTTCAATAGAAGACTTTCCATTGTGAATCTGTTTCTCAGGTCTTCAACAAAAACTCTTACTCAGCTTTTGTGAGCTTAGTATTATCATTTGGGGAAAAACATGTAACAAAACAAATGTAAGAGGATGATCAATTTAAAGCATTATCAAACCACATTTTGACCTTTGTTACCACATAAAATATAAAAATCTTGTGGAAAATAATTCAAAATATCTTTGAAAAACAGCATAGTTGTCTATAACTGTCTTCTAATTTTGTCTCTAATTTTCTTCTAATTTTATCATATTTTGGTAGGAACCAATCAGATCAGTAGGGACAAAGTACATACCTACAGATGAGCCCGTTGCCTGGATTTTCTGTCTAGGCAGTGAAGTAGGCACTTGTTCAATGTGATCAATCTCATAATCAATAACATTTTTTTAAAAGAAAAGGATCAGGTGAATTGCACCCTAGGGTGTCCACTGCTCTCCATAGCAGGTGCCTTGAGAGACTGGCTCAGATGCAGTTTCCCACAGTATGCCTGTCTAGGTAAAATTAATTCTTTCTGTCTTCTTCTCAGAGGTCTAAAACTTTATTCAGGTAAGTGTAATTTTGTGAAATTTTGAACTAAATAAGTGCCACTTGCTTGAGAATTAAAGTAAGGGCCATTTGGAGATATTTATAACAGTCAGGTGTTTAGATATGTAGGCCGAAATCCTGATCTCGTTAAAATCAGTGGGACTTCTCCAGATGTCAGTGGGGGCACAACACTGTTCCTATTTAATGTGGTCCAAATGCAAGCAGAGAATAGAGACCTTGTTAATGTTGGACCTCAACTCATGTAAAAATGTTGGAAAGGCAATACTGGATTTCAGCTGGTTTCCTAACAGAATACATTGTACTCTTTTTGCTTAAGAAATCAGCTACCTTTTCATAAAAGTAATTTCATGTTAGAAATAACCTGGAAGGCGTCTTCGATATATAGTAAGCCACAAAAAAGTGAATTCCACCAGATAAATAATCAGTTTAATATCCAAATGAATTGAATGTGCTTGTACTGCAGCAGCTGAAAAGCGTACTTAAATTCAGGAGCCCTGATTACTCCATTGTCACAAATGGAACCTCCCTGTGAGTGAGAGTGTAAGTGGTTATTGCGCTTCTGTAGGCTGGAACAGAATGATACAGCAAAACAGAAAATACAGTGTGGTACGGATCAGATCTGCTTCTGGATGTCATGCAGTGCAAAGGTAAATACGCATTACTGGGTACAATCTGAACACAAATCTGTTCAAATTCACAGAAGGCCAAGAATTACTCCCTTACAGAATACTGAAAGTAAAACTGAGGCAATGAAACTCGTATTCAAAAATAAATACGCTGTGTGACAAGTATAAAATTGCTGAACTAAATGGTATTTCTCACTGTTTTTTTCAGAAGTACCTCAGCTGCAGGGCAAAATACAAGGACATAAGCTACTGACCTCGTCTTAGCATCAGGACCAGAGATACTACCCTACAGTTCACCGTCAATTAAGAGCAATTGAAAATCACCTCTTGGAAAAGCTGATCAACCCATGATAATTAGCGGACCTCATTTGTGAAGCACGTTTTATGTACTTGTGCTGAGATCCTTTTTCTACCTACCGCATGGTTCTGTATTACTTACTGGGCACTGATGGTAGCCTCCAGAAAGTGCAGCTTCAAATGGTCAACCTCATCCTTTAGCAAAAAGAAAATCTGGATACTGGATAGCAACAAAATCTTCAGAGAAAATGCTATACGAAGGGAAACAGTTAGTTTCCTGCCATTGTTTCTTCCTGTTAACAGCAAAATTCTACTGGATACTCACCCTGATGCAAAGAACTCACGGCCAGGAATATGCCCACTCCATCCGATTGGACGGGGACATTATCTTGGGAGGACTGTTCCCTGTCCATGCAAAAGGGGATAGAGGGGTGCCTTGTGGGGAGCTCAAGAAGGAGAAAGGGATCCACAGACTTGAGGCAATGCTATATGCAATTGATCAGATTAATAAAGACCCTGATCTTCTTGCCAATATCACCTTAGGCGTCCGGATCCTTGACACATGTTCCAGGGACACTTATGCATTGGAGCAATCCTTAACATTTGTGCAAGCGTTAATAGAAAAAGATGGTTCAGACGTGAAGTGTGCTAATGGTGACCCACCTATTTTCACTAAGCCAGACAAGATATCAGGTGTGATAGGTGCTGCAGCAAGTTCTGTGTCCATTATGGTCGCTAATATTTTAAGACTTTTTAAGGTAAGGAACATTTTCTATATTTCTTTTAAATTTCACACACAATGAAATAAGTGAGGTGATTTTGTTGTGTTACCCTCCAAACAGAAAGATTCAGAAATGTGAAATGACTAGTTTGCCCTTTCAAAGCAAAGGAAAAAAAAAAAAAAAAGAAAAAGTAAGCAATGATTGCAGACCTTAATTTAAGGTGCCAAATGCCCCTTTTGAAGTTCTGAGCAACCAGAGCACATTTTAATTCTTTAGGGATTTGTATCCTTATTTTTTTACCACTTACAGTTACTCCATGTTGAGCATTTGTGCTTACCAAGACTAGGTTGAGATTGATTTCTCAAATTTCCAGGAGAATGGCATGTAAGGTTTAAACACAAATCCATTTGTAGGAGGACCAGATAATTTCCCTAAATAGGAAGATATGCCAGTAATAATCTAGTGCTATCAATGTGCATGCCTAGCCAAATGAAGTGTATTGAAATATCTTTGATTTCATTGAAATCTTAACTTCCTCCATATTTTTTATAAAGTGATATTTTTTTCCAGACTTTTTATCACTTTGTGGGAGATAACTTTTGGACAACAGTTCTGCTGGCATTTCCTTCCATGTTCTTTATTAATCTCTGGGGTTATAAGTAATAGAAGAGTAAACCTGTCACTTCTAAACTCGCTAAGTTAGAAGGGAGGATGAACACACTCTAATCAATCAATTTAGCTGGAACATGTCAGGCAGCAGACATTTAATTTTTAATCCTGTGAAACAGCAATCAGATGATGGTAATCTGAGCACTTTTTTCTACACATGGAATTACTATAACTTTTGTCTGAATCTATTACTGTCCTGCCACCTCCTGTCATTCATACTTATTCCTTCTGTTCAGAAATCTTGTCTTATATCCTACAACTTCACAGCCACTGAAGATCCCTTAAAGGCCATTTCTTTGATTCTGGGGGAGAAGATTACAGTAGTGTTAAATATTGCTGGTATGTTCTTTGAAAAATGTTGCACTTGTTTTCTAATTGTAACTGAGAGATTAATTAGAAGTAAGGAAAGATTGGCTTTTTTTTTGTAGGTTTCTCAAATTGACGAAGAGTGTTTTAGTCATTTAAAGGAAGATTTTTGTCCTTCCCTTTGGTTCTCCCATGAAGGGCATAATGATGCATTTACAGTTCAGTGGAGGAGCAAAATGTCTTTTGGGTTGTGGTCAGGTGTTCATTACGGTCTCAAAACTGATCCCTAGCTGCACTTAATGCACAGGTCTGAGAGTAGCGGACTTCTTCCAGCCATACGTTTTGCTTGTGAAAATCAAGTACACAGAACTGAGCTAAGACTTAAAAATGTTTTATATGGAGAGCACCTCTGGAGCTGTGCCTGGCGGGAGAAGCCTGTCTTTCTTGGGAACAATCATGCATGCTGCGGGAGGTGTCTGTTTTTAATTTCATATCCTTTTTTGAAGTTGTGTTACCCTATTAAATAATGCATAGTTCTGAAGTAATGATAGATGGAACGGTCACTTTAATACCCATCTTAATGCAGGACCACATAGACTACTGTTTACACCCAGTTTTGAGTTGAATACAGTGCCGTAAACCGATGTAAGAAACTAAGCCTTGTAAGACATGCATTAACTGTGAATTAAGAGCAGCAAGAAGGAAAGAGGCCTATGAATTGTCTAAGATAGCAGCAATTTGTCTTCTGAAACCGTGACAGCTATCTCCTGATTTCCATTATGCAATAAGATTGCAAATAACGTTCTACTGCAGTCTTAATCAATAGAGGGTCACGTGATATCCCCTCTGGGGAAAGATCTTATTTACCCATTTAATTGATGTAACACAGCTGCTGGCAAAAGGAGGAGACATCTCTTTTAGTTTTAATTATAGATCCTACACAAATATTCTTAATAATGTAAAAAATGACAAATTATACCCTTTAATGTCTGGTGTTCGACCTGCATCTGAAGTCTGTTTTTACACCTTCCTCTCAGAAGCAGATCCGCTATCTCTGCATTAGTAAAGGCTTCTGGATAAGGCCCTCATTTAGCAGCTCTATGGAGACCATTCACAATGGTTATAGTCAAGAGGATTAGGAAATTCAGGGCCATTTGCCAGAAATACAGAGGTATAATCGAGTTTGGTTTGTACTCAGACCAAAGACATGGACTGAATTTCTCAGCTGATGCATCCCCACAGCTCTGCAGCTGAGGACCAGGGCCTTGGTCCATGCTCCCAAAGGCTCCAGGTATGAAATTGTGTTTACTGTATCTTGGCATAAGTCTAGGCTGGGTGCTCAGCTGGTGCAAATGCCTGTACTTCCACTGAAGTCAGTGATCACCATCATGCAAATGCCTGTTTTCATTATATCCAGGATGAGTGCAATTCATCTGTATTTCTGTCTAACAGTTCTATTCAGCAAGTCAAACCTGTAATTTGAAGTTCAGTATTGCTTTAATATCTACTCTGAAGTTCCTAAATGTCAGGACTACATATTTTTTGAGAACATTGTCATCCAGTGAAATTTAAATCTGTGATTAAATTGTGAGAAGTGTATTGTATCAGTCAACATGAATACACAAACAAAGATAGCCTGAGAAATAGTGTGCTTAGCAGCTTGGGTTTTCATGCTGATATTTTTCTTTTTCTTGCAGTTTTTTTTCTTTCTTTTATTGATTTTACAACATAAAACATACAGGTCAATAGTCCTATCTGATGATCTGGTGGATAGTATAAACTGATTGATAGTCACGGTGTCCTTTCTCTAAGTGTTTTCATGAGAAGAGGGGCAAGAGAGCAGCAAAGAAAATGACCTTGATCTACAGCCTTTCTCCTGGTCAAATGGTTCACCTTGAATTCTTCTCTGTCTTTTCCCCTTTTGTGAATTTCTAGGCACACCACCACTTAGCAGGTGATTTTATGCCATTAGTAGATTCAAAACATTATGGTCCAAATTTGGGCAGCCTAAATTTCACCTGTTGATGGTTTTAGATCTTTCAGAGGTGCTTTACAAACAGGAAACAGTTGTTCAAGGAGTTAAATGTTTGAAAGTGGACTTGTTATTCTTTGGTTATCATAATGAGGCTGCTTTTTGCCTTATGTTACTCTGGTGCTTGAAGCAAAAAAAATGTGTGAAACACAATTGCTTATTAAGCTTTCAGAACTTGGAGGTGGTCTTGCTGCAAATATAGTGGAGAAACGAGAGGATCTTCAGAAAGACTGTGCTGGGTATTAACACAGTAGCTACCCACTCAAACAGTTCTATGTGGATCTCGGGACAGATTGTCCCCAGTTGAAGTTGTTGGCTTATTATTTTATTGTTGTTTTTGTCAGAGACCATCAGGAGTGGGCTGCTTCAGAAGGGAAGTTGAGACAGGAGCCGAGGGGGCAGTAAGGCAAGAAGAGCAGTGGTCTCATGAACGGGGACACAGCCTTACCTTACTGAGAGGAACAAAATGGGTCCATCCATGCAACCAGGTTCAGCCAACAGTCCAGACAATTCCACAGTAGCAAGGCAAGGTCAGTGCCAGCAAGGCAAGGCCAGCATCAGCAAGGTAGATGGCCAGCAGCATAGCTCAAGCAGGAACCCAAGGCAAGGGCCAGAGCCAAAATGCAGCTGCTGAGCAAAGAAGGTGGACAGAGGTCCTGGATGAGGCTTCTCATTAATTCTCCACACAATTTAGCTGTTTTCCTGGGCTCAGCCAGGGTCACATATCTGCACTATATTGGAGATGACCTTGAACACATGGAGCCAAATCCAGGGCTGCAGAAGGGAGGGTGTTGCAGAGCCTGTCAGTGCCTTCAGGGCCTCAACAGTTTTTTAGTATTTCCCATGGCAGTGACTGTAAAAATTATAGGGACCAGCATGGGCCAGCCTCTTTCCTTTCTTCTGGTGCACCAGGAGCTGCTCTGTCCTCCGGATAACAGAAGGTAACCTTGTTTGGTTTTTTTTTTTTTTTTTCAGTCTGGAAATCCTGCTTCCAGGCTGGTTTGTTTGGCTGATAGGATCTATTGAGGGGCTGGCTGGACCCATTGGCCAACTCTCACCAGCACAAAGACAACTTTTCTATTGAGTGGATCGCTCAAAATCTTACTCTTAGCCCCTTCCCTGTCTTTGTCTTACTGAAATTTTGGCTTCCTGTAGGGTGCTCAGGCACAGCCAGGTAGTATCTGCTGGCTTCTTTGTGTGATGCTTACAACCATTTAGGCTGTTCCTGGTTGCTCAAAATTTGAGCCTGGAGGAAAAAGAGACTCTGTAATTTATCTCACTTCATGTATTATGTTCCCTATGTTCAAAGCTTCTAGATGTTTAATGTGTGAATAACTCATGTTAATGGTTAAAATCTGCTGGGAAAAAAGAGAGATATTTATTTATGTAAGTGTCCTCCCATCTAAAAACTTCACGCTATTTCTGAACTCCTTGGTATGCTCCATCTGTCACCTTCACACATCTTCTAGCCAATGTCACACTGAGAGCAGCCTAAGGATGAGGGTTTGCATGTGAATTGAGATGGGTGGACAGTACGCTTGGTGAATTGTGATCTTAAGCTTTTATGTATATACTTATGTACATGTGTATAAAGCCAAAATATTCATTGACAGTTTTATTCCTTTCCTTGCCTTGCTTTGCCTTGCCTTTTGCCTTGTCTTCTGTTTTCTCCTCTTTTCCCAAGACTAAATGACTTATTTCCTCTTTTTGGTCAAATTCCCTTCTTGCTGCACCACCATAATCCACTTTAATAGCTACTGTATGAAGGGACTAATATTCACTTCATACACATTTACCTCTTCAGAAACACAAGTAAAAATGACATTATGGACTTACTCTTTCAACTTTATGTGCAGCCATCCAAAATGCAAGGGATGGTTTCTTTCAGTAAATCTAGAAGTAAATGCATTAGTTCCTTAAGCATTTTGTTTATTTGCTTTATTTCCTTGCCTCATTTTGGGTTTTAGCATGTATCTTTTGCATAGCTACCAGGGCTGTACCTGGATGATGCTTTTTTAGGCTAAGTTGA